GGAGGGCAGTGGCCGCTCCCGGCCACTGCAGCCTTGACCTGCTGGGCTCCAGAGATCCTTCTGTCTACAGGCATGCGCTACCACACCCGGCTACTTTTTTGATTTATTGTAGAGATGAGGTCTCGCCAAGTTGCCCAGGCGGGTCTCGAACCCGTGGGCTCAGCAATCCATTCACCTCAGCCTCCCAAAGGCGCTGGATTACAGGCTGAGCCCCCGAGCCCGGCTAGGATTGCACTACTTTCACAATTAAAAAACAATTATAACTTACATCTTTAATTGAAAGTCCATCTGTTTCTTTCACTTTCAGTTTTGTTTTTGTGGTTATCACGAGTACATGGCATTCCAGAGCCCTCTCAATGAGATGGGGGAGCTCGAGCAGGCACAGTGGCACACACCTATAATGCCAGCACTTTGGGAAGCTGAGGCAGGAGGATCATTTGAGCCTAGGAGTTTGAGACCTTCCTGGGTCACATAGCAAGACACCATGGAGAGAGAGAGAGAGAGACATCACTCTTCTACATATAGACAGCATCTGGTCCCAGATGGACTGACAGAGGCTTTGCTTGGGGTGCTAGAATGCAAGATTCCTCTCTGCTCATGACGGACTTCTGATTATTTCTGCTTTGATGGACACAAAACCTGAAGCCCAGGCAGCTGCCCAGGATGTAGAACAGGAGAGGGGAGGACTGGCTCAGAACGGGATTATTTTCTGAGATATGAAGGTGCGTTTTGTTCACTGTGTGTTTTCCACTATATTTTCTGAGAAGGGTGCTAGACTCCTTGTGATTGTAGAGACCCCATAAGCAGATGCTGCTTTAAAACAACTTCTCTTATGAGTGTGTCTGATGTCTTCTTTCGCCTGGAGTCTAAACTCACTGAAGAGGCTATTTGAGGTTTCTACAGTAGTTGGAGAAGAGCAGAGTGTCTTTTTGGGGAGAACGGTGGCTGCAGAGGGAAATAGAGGAGAGTTTCCCAACACATGGGAAGGGATCCGGGGCTGGGGGACCTTCTAGCAGCAGCCATACCCTAACAGTTCACCCTGAGGAGGCACAGCCTCAGGAGGCCTGGCTGTGTGGAGGCTCGGGGAGGTAGGATCCTATTACCGAGGCTTTGGGTCCTGGCAGGGTCCTGGGCATCAGACCAGGCAAAATGCCCAGAGCTGCTGATTCCAGGGTCCCCTGTAGGCTGGCCACAGCCATCTGCTGTGGTCATGACATACTGGAGGCTACAGGGCCTGCCCCGTATCTGAGGGGTCACAAACACTTTCCAGCTTCCTTTGCTACCCCTAGGGTAGGAGCATTTGCAGTGACTGATATTGGATTTCCTGCCAGCTCAGTACAATGGCAAGTTTATTTGATTTCTTGGAAATTAAGTTGAAACTTCTGTACTTAGATTGGTGACGGTTGGTTTACTCCTGAGATGGTTAGAAATTCATAGCAGGCCCAGAGTACAGTCAGATGGGTGGGAAGTCAGCATATGATTCTTTCCTTCCTTCCTCCATTCAAGCACTGTTTTTAAATATCAGCATGTGACAGGCCCAGGATGCAAAGACACCCAGGGTGGAAGGACACAGCCGCCCCTTAGGAGCTTGTGGTCTAGTAGGAGACAGGCAGGTGAGCAGCAGCTCCTGAAGGCTCCTGAGACCGGGTCACAGGATACCAGATCAGAATGGGGGCTATTTAGGTCAGGGCTCTCAGGCCAGGACTCTTTTCATTACATGGTGGTTCCTTACTGAGCACCATCTGGGTGTCTCAGCGTTGCTAATGGCACACAGCAGAGGGTTCATGAGATCTCGTTTAGAAATTTAAAAATTAGAGTAAACCAGTACCACTAAAATCAAATTCTTCTGTGCCCTGGAGTGTGGTTCCCATACTCCATCCCCATAGAGTAGCTCTAGGCTCCCACCTGCCCTCTCATCCACCCAATCCTGACTTTGCACTTTGCCCAGCCATTGCATCTGCATTTATTAAGGGCCCTCTGGGTGTGCACAACACTGAACTGGATGAAATCTGATCAACCACGAAGAAGGTGAAACAAAGGAAAGATGGCATCAGCAGTCTCAAAGTCTCATGAGTGACACCAACACGATCAAACTCCCCCACGCTGTCCTCTGTGGCAAGGAAAGGTGGGCCTGGTAGCTTAGGGGAACAGAGACTGCTAGCACATGCAAGGGCCAGGAGAAGAGGGGGCTCCAGGACTCATTATTCCCAAGCTCCAGGCCTGACATGAAAAGATCATTGAGGAATGATGGGGAAGGAAACTTCACAAACTTCCAGGATGGATGTGATAAAACACAGGTTTTCTCCTGCCCATGGTTGTCCAGCCACAGGAAAAACAGCTTAGCACACTGAGAAGCTGTCTAACTCCATCCTTTCTCCACTGCCTGTGTCTCTCTGCAGGAGTAAATTAATAAGTCAGGAGTTAGGACCCAGAGCTATGTCTTGGCCGCACACGCAGCAGCCTGGAAATCAAAGAAGTGCACTTAGGAAACACGCCAGGCTCTGCCCGTTCCAGGTGTCTGCTTCCCCTGGGTTCCACTTTGAACCCTCCATTTTCTTTTCAAAACCTTCTTTTCTGAGGGAAGTGCTCTGTTGCTAAAAAGGAAGACATTTTCTTTCCAAAACTGACATCAGGATGCTCACAGATCTCATCCTGGTGCTCATCGTCCTGGGCGTCAACCCCTCAGGTAGGCGCAAGTTACACTCGATTAAAACTATGGCTGTAGAGTTATTTAAGCAAAGGAGCAAAACTGTGGTGTTGATGATGTTAGTATTACAAAATGTAACGCATAGGATACATTTAGGAGAATATTTAAAGTGTGTGGTTCTGTGAAATCTGGTTTTTGCTAAAGAAATCATATCTGTGAATTTTGTAATGTTTACCTTTTTGTCATTTATTGTGTTACTCCTGAATCATTATGAGCTTAGTAGGAAGATATAAAAGCAGGAAAAATGTTATGAATGTCACGCAGAGAATTGTTAAACTATTTGGTACAGAAATTTACTACATCAACATTTTTATATCGTATTTACTAATAATTACTATGTATGTTTGTCAAATATATCCTTAGACCTATGTAAGTATTTTAATAAACTTGTGTACATAGGTAGATTTAGCATATTTGTATATCACTATTAAACAAAAACATGTCAAATGTCTATGAATGTATGTGTGTTTTACAACACTATTATCCAGCTGAAAATAGAGGACTTATTGATATGGAAAGATGAAAAACTAAAGGAGAGAGAGGCAGAAAGAGTAAGAGAGAGAAAGTGGGAGAAAGAGAAAGGGACAGAGAGAGAGAGAAAGAGAGAGACAGAAGGAGAGGGAAAGAACAAAGAGAGAAAAAAGAAAAGGAAAGAGGAAGCAAACACTGCAAAGTTTCAGGGACAAGGGTCATTTACACCTGCCAGTTTTTGAGGTTTTGGGACAATTTCACTTTGTGGAACTTAGGAACAGAAAACTCTTCCCATTGAACTAGATGTTCTGAAGCCAGGAACCAGATGGTGAGAAAAGTGTCATTCCATTAGCAATTTGTATATTTTTCAATATACAAATTGAAATTTACAAATTTCAGTATACAAATTGAAATCAAAAGTACTTCTGCCCCATTTGATTATCGCAGTTTTCAGGTGAAGAACTGGAGGCACTGAGAGAGATTTGCCCAAACCCAAATTCCAGAGTTAAAAGTCCTGGGGCTGTGAGGTATATCTGACCTAACCTTCAAAAACATCCTTTCCTCATATTAGGGACTCAAAGCCCCGCAGAGTCATTTCCAAGTGCAGAGAGCATCAAACCTACTTTCAAATACCACAAAATTTGGTCTTGGCAGTCTTAAATGCAGTTTGACAATCCTAATAACAAAGATCAACTTTTGTGTGTTGCAGCATATAATTAATATCCGTGTATCTGTTGCTCTTCTGCCTTGATTTCTTAGGGTATCTGATTTACTATGAAAGAATGGATTCCTACCGTTATTTTCCCAGGGAAATTACCTCGCTGGTTAGTGGGGGTATTTGGCATAACCATTCTCGGCTGCACTGGGCCTTGTCCTCTACACACAGTAACGACTACGTAAGGAACCTGGAGTTGGCGGAGAACCTGGTGCTTGCTCTCTACCATGTAGGTGGCAAGAGCTCAGGAACATGTTCTGAGCTGTGCACACCTCTCATGGCTCTATAATAAATCTTGTAGCCTGTATGTAATCTTACATTTGTGAATATTTCTAGGTCCATCAGCGTCTGCTTATATTTGTAGATCTGCCCCACCTTTCCTTAATTTATTTCATTTTACCAAAAGAAGATAGTTTCTTTTTGTTACACAAAACTACTTTTTTCCAAATCACAAGGGGCTAACCCTTCATTTGTGTATTCTGGCTTTGGTAAAACGGATACTCGGGTACGGCCAGGGGACATATCTCATATTGCAATTTCACATTTTATGTGTTGGCGTCTGCTCCAAAAAGCAGGATTGTGCCTTATCCACCTTCCCATCTTCTTACTACATGATATAGTCACTCAATGAATATGTATTGAGCATCTGCTGTATCCTAGGAATGGTACAGTGTGTAGCAATGCAAGAGGGAATAAAACAAAGTCATTCTAGTAAGCTCTCATGCTAGTGAGAATCCTGTGTTATTTATTATTCGATTTCACCCTGAGGGCTAGCCCTGTGTGTTGACCAAAGAGGCTACCGTATTTGTGATATGATTGTTTTTTTAAAAAGATGGTAATAACCGAAGGCAAAATCAAAATATAACAAGAAGTATCAGAGCAAAAAATATGTATCTCCCAATCATGCTTGTTAAAGTTTGAAACTCTTAAATTGTTTCTTTATCCTACTGGCTGAGGATAAATAGTTGAGTTATCAATAAAACCATAAATAATCATCTGATGTTTTGCTTGTTAAATCTGATCGGTTATTTATACCTTGGTATGAGGGAGTTTGTCAAAATCTTGCTGAAAGTGGGTGTTGATATGGGGGTGGGAAGAGAGAAGGATCTGAGGGTCTAAAGAAAGGAACGTGATAAAAAATAAAGAGACCAGAAGGTCAAGTCTTTGGTTCCAAAGGAAACTGTATCTCACACTGGTCCTGGGCACCTGCTCCATGTCTCTCAGGCCTTTTCTCACTGGGGTAGAGAGAACCCAGACTTCCCACGGGGCGTGAGTCCTCTGCAATCCTTGACCGTTTTGCTTGCTTTTACCTGGTTTCACTCTCTGTTGAGATAGACAGCAGTCATGAGCAACCTGCTGTTCCCAGCCAAAGGCACATCTTGAATCTGGCTCTCTTTTGTGCCTTGGAAACAGCAAGTGTCTGGCATTAATAGGCTGCATTTTACGACTGTTTCATGAATGTAAAGATTCTAAAAGCAAAGGACACGTGAGCTGCTGGGGCCTCGGCCATCATTCACTTCTTACTTTTATCGGGAGATGCCAAATGCTTGGAATCAGGACCAGAATTTATGTCTTTAAATCTGTGTCTTTAAATCTACATAAAATAAATATCTGTTGGAGTCGTGTTCTAATGAATGAGGAGTTTGGCAAGGAACTCCACATTCAGAGCCAAGGGCTCTCCTGGAGGCCTGTGCTGCCTGAGTCCCACATGCAGGAAATAAAGAGCACAAGGCAGAGGCTACATCTCTGTCTCCAGATAGAAGCCTTCACATAGGCAAGCTCTCTGATTCACTCTCTTCTTTCCTTTCCTATGGAGTTGCCTGTCTGGCCCCAAAGGAGACATTTTGACAAAGAAAAATGGGATGAAGATTAAGCATGAAGAAGACAGAGAGGAGAGAAGTGGGGGAGAACAGGAACCTAGGAGAACAGCAAAATTTCTCTTTTACCAAGAGATGTGGTGAAAAGCTTTAAGAGGCAGCAAAGAGCCAGGCACAGTGGCTCAAGCCATAATCCCAGCACTTTGGGAAGCCAAGGCGAGAGGACTGTCTGAGCCCACGGGTTCAAGACCAGCCTGGGCAGCATGGTGAGACTTCGTCTTTACAATATGTCAAAAAATTAGCTGGGCACGGTAGCGCGCGTAGTTCTGGCTACTTGGAAAGCTGAGATGGAAGGATCACCAGAATGCAGCAGGTCAATGCTGGGGTGGCTGTGAGCATGCTACTGTACTCCAGCCTGGGCGATGGAGTGAGACTCCAACTCAAAAAAAAAAAAGAGAGAGACAGCAGACAGCCTCTAAAGATGTTGAACTGAACTGTGTGTGTGCATGTGCTGTGGGGGATAGGACTAAAGGCAAGGAGACTGGGGGAGCCATGGTCAACCTGAAGCAGGAATGCACCCTCACTGAAAAGTGTGGGGTGTTCACCTCAGGGAGAGCAGTCACAGAGCGGTGCCCACTGAGGAGGTCCTGGGCAGAGCCCTTGGTACCAGGTGCCAACTACAGCAAAGGGAGACTCAAGCAGGGTGACAAAACACAGTCACCAAGGCCGAGAGTCTCCCTACAAGCAAGTGTCATTTGTGACATGTTTTAGACTATCTATCTTGCTTTAAACAACAGTAAAGCATTTTGGAAAATACAATGCTAACAACAAAACAGCAAATACATGTTCATAGAATTGAGTTGTTGAAACAATTTCTGTGGTAATAAGGAGACCAGAGTGGAGATGACAATCATTTGCTCCCCTCAATCTATAAAATATTATGAACTGGTGAAAAGACTGCTGGCCCTGCCATCAGAAGGTCACGTGGGCTACTCATAAGCTGGACCACCCTGGGCAAGCGTCCTCTCAGTGACCTAGTGCCATCACCTGTAGAGTGAGGGTTAGGTGATCTTGGAGATCCTTCTCAGCTTTGTCTTAGCTTCTTTAGCATTTTGCTTTCCCTGCATTTTTCCCTGATGTTGAAATTGAGAAATCTAACCTTCCCAAAGAGATACATCTGCAGCAAGAGTCACCTATCTTTCAAGAGCAGTTTCTTGATTTCTCAATGGATCACTGAGATAGATCTTAGAATACTGTCTGACCAATTTAAAATGTAAGTCAGTTTGTAAAAATTTGGTCTACACACAACTTTTCAGGAATCCACTTATTACTTAAAACAAAGACCGCTTATCCAGGGCCTCCTGAACACAGCTGTGATTTTCCACTGTGGAGCAGTGGGCCAGGCCCACTCTGCCTCCCTCCCCCAGGCCACAGAAAGCTTCTGCTAAGGCCTTTGGTTCATGCATCCATTCATTTGTTCATTCATCAAACATTATCAAATATTGATGGAGACCTTGGCCTCAAAGGAACAACTGTGAGAAGCACTTTCCTTTCTCATAACGTCCGCCTTCATAAGAAAGACCGACCATAAACATTTCCAGGCCTGTCCTCTAAGTCTGCTCCAATAACGCCATTAACTTCAGCTTCTATTTTGGAAAGATTCAGGAAATTTGAAGATGCTAGGCAGAAAGCATTTAACATTTGGCTTTTTTGTTTTCCTGGTAAGGTCTGTTTTGGTCAGATGAGTTTTTTATTTTTTGAGTGGGGGGGTCTCACTCTGTTGCCCAGGCTAGAGGGCAGTGGCACAGTCATGACTCATTGCAGACTCGACCTCCTGGGCTCAGGTGATCCTTCCACCTCAGCCTCCCAAGTAGCTGGAACTACAGGTGTGCACTACCATACCTGGCTAGTATTTTGATTTTTCATAGAGATGAGGACTTACTATGTTGCCCAAGTTGGTCTTGAACTCCTGGAGTCAAGCAATCCTGCCTCAGACTCTCAAAATGTTGGGTTTACAGTTGTGAGTCACCGCACATGGCCATGAAGAGATTTGTGTAGTCTGCAGTGGCTGCCATAACAGTATACAATAGACTGGATGGCTTAGACAACAAGCATTTTTATTCTCTCACAATTCTGCAGGCTAGAAATCCATGATTAAAAGTGCTAGAAAATTCAGTTTCCAGTGAGTGCTCCCTTCCTGGCTTGCAGACTCTGTCTCCAAACAGTCACATTGGGGGTTAGGACCTCAATATTTGATTTGCAGGGCATAAACATTCAGTCTCTAACAGTCAGTGGAGGCTCATGCTTTTTTCCCCTTGATTCAGATGGAAGGCTCCCCTCCTCACAGGGGTCACACAGGTGGTAGTGCATGCAGGACCTGGAGAGTAGAGCTGCCCATTTCCCTTGGGTCCTGGTAAAAAACAGAATCCTGACCTCCACACAGAGGGCACAACTGTGCAACAGCAAGTACTGGGGATGACCGGGTTGTAATTTTAGATTTTCCTTACTGACATGCAACTCCATCTCCCTTCAAAATGACTGTAAAATCTTCCTTCCAGGAAAGGAAGTTTAAGGTTATGGTCCCTGATCTTCTTCAGAAACTCTCTCACATGTCCAGAATTCTCCTGCCTCAGGGTTGTCTGCACTAAGAAACCTGTGTGTGAGTGAGTGAGTGAGTGAGTGCATGCGTGTGTGTGCATCCGTGCTGGTTCAGGCATTCTTCAGTTGTTCCCAGCTTCCCTGGGGCATCTTTGCTTATTGTGAGATGACATCTTAAGTAATTTGTGCTAATTGGGCTAACAGGGACTCAGGAAGTTCAGCTCACTGGCAGCCTCAGCAACAATCAGGTGGTGGGAGCATCAGTCAGGGAGGCATCCAGATGCTGACCACAGCAGCCACAGAGGCTTAGCCAAACTGGGAATTGTTTTTCTCACATATCAAGAAATTTGAAAGGAGGTAATCCAAGGATATCAGGACCCAGGTGCTATGTGCCCTTCTGTTCTGCCTTTGTATGTGTAGCTTTCCCCAGGCCTGCCAGAAGCATGTGGCAAAACCTCTAGTTACAGGCAGGAAAGAGAAGGGTGTGTCAGATCAGGCTCATCCTCCTTAATAGCCTTTCCTACAGACCCCATTGGCTTCTTTTGTATCTAATTAGCCACATGTGCCATAGGCTACCCTAGCTGCAAGGGATTCAGGAATGAAGCATTTTGAGCAATCCTGAATACATTTTACGTCTGTTGCCAGGGAAGAAGGGAGAATGCCTGCTGGGCAGGGAACTGGCAGTGAATGTCACATGCTGCGGTGGTTTGAATGTGTCTACCAGAGTTCATGTGCTGGAAACCTGCCCCCCAATGTGGCAGTGTTGAGAGGTGGGGCCCGACAGAAGGTGTTTGGATCATGGGGATACCAACCTCATGAATGGATTAATGCCATTATGTTGGCAATGTGTTTGCTCCTTTGTCTCTCTCTCACTCTCTCTTTGCCTATCCGTCATGGGAGGGCACAGCAGGAAGGTCCTCAACAGACACTGGTCCCTTGATTTTGGAGCCAGTAAATTTCTATTCATTAAAAATACCCCAGGCTATGGTATTCTGTTATAGTTGCTCAAAACAGATGAAGACAAGTACCTTTCATACAAGATTCTCTGCCTTAGAGGTGAGGGATGCCTGCCATAGGGGAGGGCTGGAGGAGGAGGAGGATAGCAGTGTCTTCACTGCTTCCCCCTTCTCCTGAGAAACTCAGGTCTGGTGGCTCAAACTCTCCAAAAACCACTGGTAAAACCAAGCTGGGAAGCTGACTGTGCTGTTACTTGACCATTTGTTCAGCCAACCACTGTTTGCTCAGCAGTTGCTGTATGGCAGTCACTGTTCTGAAGTAGGGGATGCAGTAGAAGACCAGTTCTTGACCTCCTGGAGTTGGCCTTGTCTAGGGGCAGATAGTCATTTGATGAGTAAGTGCTATGATGGAAGTTCAAATACACTTAAGGGAGAGTGGGGAGGGTTTTTTTTGTTTTTTGTTGTTGTTGTTGTTGTTGTTTTGAGTTGGAGTCTCACTCTTTCGCCCAGACTGGAGTGCAGTGGCCGCTCCCAGCCAC